TAAATTTCACTTCAAACTTCATTAACTACCCGCAAACTCTGCTTAACGAGGATTTCTTAATTTTCATTTATTACAGCAAAGAAAACAACGCATTCTCCAATACCTTGCCACATTTTGAGACTGAAGAGGCTATCTCATGTGGGATTCCTATTAGTGAAAACGAACCTGTAAATCATGACGGAGATATTATGTTGGATGAGAAATTTCCGTTCCGTAATCCAGAAACAAATGCAGAAGAAATTAGGTGAGAATCAAAACTCTTGACGGCAAAATAGAAAAAATTAATCCAAACATTTTTTCTTAGGTCTTATTGGTGCTGTAACAGTTTAAGAAAAAGATTCAAAAATACGTTCAAAGAAAGACCACCCGTTCTCATAATTAACATCAAAGTCGGAGGTACAAAAACGAAAGACTTGCCTGTTTTACTCAATGTTGGCTCCGATACGTAAGAACAATACTTGCGTGTGCATCTTCCTACTCTACCATCTACTTCCACTATCCTTTTAGCTATAAAATATATGCCTGTACATGCGGCAGAGATTATCATTTTCCTGCTACAATCAAAGTAGCAGACCAGTATTACAAGTACAATGATTTACACCCAAAAGGAATATATATTCATGACGGTGCTGATAGTGTCGAAACAGCCGTCTATTATTTGTTATTATGATACACTCTGAATATACAGCATAATAAGAGAGAATTATTGTAGCCAATTTGTGTAAAAACACAGGAATTTTAAAAAAATGGATGATTTGTGTGTTTACGTGGACCGGACCTTAGAACAGGGGAACAATATTCTGGAAAACTGATTTTGTCATTCGACAGAGCTCGTCGAGTTCTATCTGGCACACTTATTTCCAAAGATGGCACAGCTTTAATAAAAAACGTTAGGCGAAAATATAGAAATCTGCTGCGAACTTCCCTTATGTGAAAATGAAATCCTTTGAGCAATGTTTAGTGCTCCAAACTTTGTTGGGAAAAACGAGAGCCATAGCTTCACGAAAAATGCCACAGCGTCATGACGATAAAACGCAATTATTGAGGGATCAAAAGCTCTTTGGAAAGATTGTTTTTTCTCGATGAGACAAGGATTGGGTGGTCGTATGCTTAACACACCCAGTTTTCAAACGAGAGACCGGCTAGAAAAGCACTGACAACTCACACTAGAGAATTTGGGAGGTTTGTTTGACTGAAGATTAATTACCGACCGGTCTCACTTTTATTAAAATAAAAGCTCTTCAGGGTATCTGGAAAATACAAACAAACACATAAAAATAAAAAATATATAAAAATCACAAATAAAATTAAAATAAAAAACAAAGAACAGAAAACAGACACAACAAAAAAGAAAAAGAAAAACGACACAACAAGAGAAGACATTTCAGTCTTCAACGAGGTGGAGGTCCAGTTGTGCAGCCAGTTCGTCAAGGTTGCTGACACTGTTGTCTGGCGATCGGTCTGGAAGCATCCCCTCTTCCGCGAAATCGGTCGAAAATGATTCGACACTGACGGGGTCTGGGGTCCTCGCATTCGGACACTCACCAGGGAAACCTTCCAATATTTCGCCACGTGGCGAGAAGCACGGGCGCAAGTCGATAACGACTGTCTCCTCGACATTGACAGTATGTCGAGGGGTCGCTAACCGAACTGGCGATTGCAGGGCGGGTCGTCGTTTACGACTATCTCTTCCACATGCGTAAATCATCTCTAGCCGCTTATGCCTCTGGCGGCGTAGAGTACTCTTTGTCGGATGTCCTGGTGCATTATCGGGCAGTTGCCGCCGATGGAAGTGCGTTAGTGGCACTGAACGTGACGACAAATGATCGATCGATGGTCGAATTTTCAAATTCTGCTGATATGCCGAATTGACGAAGGTTCGACCACTAACAATCGTGCCGGTCGATGAATTTCGACTCAGACCTGAACATCCTGGATGTGTCACCTGGGTCTGTTCGACAATGATTTCCATGTTGAAAAACTCGTTCCTCATTTTTTACTTCAAATCCTCTTTAAAAAAACTTTCTAATCTTGCATTCTTCTTTTTTCAGAAAATTGCAATCCGAGACCAGTCCAACGTTCATTTAGAAAAGATGACGAGGATTTTTCTGGGCACGGAAATTAGCCGCTTTGATCACGGTTTGTTAATTTCCGTGCTTCCGTGCCCCATAAAATCTTTTGACTGTTTTAGGCACGGTTATTTATTTGGCAACGGTAACTAGCCGAAACGGGCACGAGTCGCTAATTTCACGCCCAAAAAGATTTTTCGGCTTATTTAGGCACGGTTTTTCTTTCTGAAGCTCGGAAATGCTTGTAAGCTGTGTGTCTCTACAACGTCACACCAGAAACTGTACGAGTAATTTCTTTATCAGAGTCGGAGATATCTTGTTATCAGAAATGAACACCGCACGCATCCCGTAGTCACATTCAGGGAATTTCCGACGTAACGAACATCGATGTGTAATTTTTGTACCCGCGTTTACTGTTTCGGTACGAAACTGCGAGACATTGTTTTGTTTAATATACATATGACAATCGTTCTTAGACGAAACTTTTTCGACAAAGACCCATATTCTACGTGCCATGTTTTGCTTTTTTGCTATGAGATTGAGACCTTAACTTAGAAAGGAGCAACTGTGTGTAGTATGGATTATGCAATATTCGCGGACATTCTGCCAATAAATCATGTTATAGCTCGTCATACCGTGGATGAGTGCCGCTATTTCGAGGACACACCCTGTCGGCGATGTTATGTTTGGCATTATTTGTAATTCTGCCTATGTCGATCTCGCCATCAGCTTCGCTATTGTTCAATTAAAATATCCCTCCAGCGGGGATTTTTTGAGTGAGCAAGGTAGCAACAAGACAAGAATAGTGCTGTGATGGAATGTATTCAGCGGCGGAGTGACCGTTGGCATGAGGGGTAGGTACATTCCCCCTGCTTTCAGAAAATTCCTTGCAAATTTGCTCCGATTTGAGCCAAAAGTACGGGAAACTTACTCCGATTTTATGAAAGAATGGACTGAATTTACTCCCATTTTGCCAAAGTTTTGTTTGAAATTTTTACGGTTTTTGCGCAGATATTTGCTGTTTTCTCCAATTTCCGGCCATCTTTGCTACAAAAATATGACAAAATCGGGAAAAGCTACAACAAGGTGGAACACCTCCTTCTCAAGATGGACAGGTCAAAGTCCCTACTGACGCATTAGTTGACAGCCTTGAACTTGAGTGTTTTTTATCGAGTCCAGTTGAAGTTCAGTTAGGATCTATCATAATCAAGAATAAAATTAGTGTAATCTTAAACGTAATTGACGCGCTTTTTTCGTCAAATATATATCTAATATGAAATCGTGACTAAACTTTTTTATGTAGTCGTATTATGAGATTTATTCACTTGAAAAATTAGTATAGTGGTTCTGTTTTCTGCTATAAACTTGACTGGACTAAATAGACAGAACAGGCTAATGAATAACAATGGATAGATATAACAGAATACACATTTAAATTATACGGTTATCAGACAGTAATACTGTTTTATTTGACACTTAACAAATTCATTCTCCGTATGAAAAGTTAGATACTTCTTGACAGAATATGTCAAGTAATTTGTCAGGCAAATGTCCTCTGTGTCTTAAACCGGTTTTAGTCAGAAACTTTAAACGTCATTGTAACAGTTTTATGTAATAGTATTTGTAGATCTATGAATACTCAAGAATTAGTAGAACGATGGTCCAGAAATAAATTTGGTAGTAGAATGTAGCATGTTGTTTTGTGAATGATATGAAGGAACAGTGAAAAAATGCTGTTTTCTTCCTGTGTCTGCAAAGTGTGGAGGTAAGGGATTATACAACTGTAAATCCGAAATGAAAAAGTGTCAAATTTTGTATAGTTTCTTTTACTTTATCAAACTTGTCAGAAAATCTTTTTGAACTTACTCCGGTTTTTGAAATTAACCCCCCCCCCCCACAGTGGGCGTCTAGGCGGACATTAGGTGAAAGATCGAAGTTGCTCCTTTTTCAAAAACAAATAGCCTAGAATGTAGCCCTTGAAAAGGGCTATCGAATGGTGTATAAATGTCTATTGTGATGTTCACTCCTTCGCAGAGAAAAACGGGTACAAAACAGTACTGTGTTATACTACTTTTAGCGACATCTTGAGAGTTATTTGTTCATTTTACTTGCTTCGTTGCATTAAATGGCTACACAAAGCACATATTCAAAATCAGCAGAATGAGCGCTATCTATTGCTACCAAAAAGTTACTAATTCCAAACGAAATTCGATGAGAAACAGGCCATACAAGCTGCATAGTGTCAATTACAGATGACCCGTCCTCAATATAGTCGATCCGCCACCGTTAGCCACCATGCAAAACGACTTATTTGTACACTAAAATGTTCTCCAGATCAAGCTGCATCATTGGTGATGTCATCTTTTTTCACTTTTTTGTTTAAGTCGAGTAATAGATTTTACAAAAACCCCTGGGATTTTGGAGGTATTTCGCAGTTTTCTACAGTATAAATGCACTTTTCTTAAAATATAATACCATATTTGGAATCAGCATGAAAACATGCATCGAATGGTGTATAACTCATCTAGTTTCGGTAGCTCGATTTTGAATTCTAGAAATTTCTTCGATTTTTATTTGTTAATATTTCTGTGGTAGCTCGATCTTCGTCGCAATAACGATACGAATCATCGAATAAACCCAATTTATATTTGGCTTTTAATACTTTTCTACATGCTGTATCAATGTCTGCTTGGGTAACAGTACCTTCAGTCAATGATTCATTCAATGTACGAAGAAATCTGTCGCCAACCTTATCCGTGTTAAATACCGCTCTTACGAGGAACCATTTCAAGGTGTTCTCTCGCTTTTTTGCCCGGAATACTGCTGATTATAGGTAATCGACGTTGTTAATTCCGAATATGGTAGCCATTTGGGCTCTTATTGCATTTTTAGCGCAAAAATTAAAAGATAAACACTTCAGTCACCGAGAGTTCCTGGAAACTGTGTTTTGACAGTACCAGGTTACAGGAGATGTCAAACTCTGTATAGCCATCAATTTTTAGTTGTATCAGACATGTTTTGGAGGCTAAAAATCAATTAAGACATTAACCGTTTCCTGTGGATCGCTACTACCAGTTAAAATACGGCAAAACTAAAAATTCATGTAAGTATGGGCTTGGCCAGCTAACGGTTACTTTTGATCAGATGGTTGAACGAAATTTTTTTTCTCGAATCTGCTTTAACCGAAGGTCAGAAAATTGGCGTTTACCATGAGCAAGAATTCTCATATCAGGTAAATGATAAAGAGTTCGGGCTGTTTTTGTTGCAGTAAACCCCCTAGGCTAAGAGTTGACTTTTAAGACTTTTAGAATTTTTTCTAAAAACAAATATTGCCACGAGACTCAGCATGATCGATTACTTTTAGTCCATCCGTTTTCAAGGCTACCAATAGTCACCGAGTGCCAGTCCTGGGACTCGCAAGAAATCCGACACAACAGCCGAGCCGCAGAAAACCAAGGTCTCACTTAACTCTCATTTTGAAGAGAATAATAGCATGGAAGAAAATCAATACAATCCTATTGAAAAGTTTTACACACGGCCCGGTTTTCCAAAGGTCATCTTGCTGTTTCTCTTTGGTTTTCAGTGAAAGCCGTTTTTCTCAGCAAAGAAAACGAATTTTGATAGGAGCTCTACATATTTTTAAAGCTGGCGTGTTGGCCGATCTGATGGTGTGTGAATCATCGATATAGCCCTTCACCCAAAAAACTAGATAGGTTTACAAAATGAGTCATACTCAGCTGACAGCCGTTGGTTCGGACGTCCATGGCGGACCACTGTTTACCTCTGAAATGAGCTGAAAACCTTTTTCTTGCCATGTATACATAGATTTTTGCATGCGTAGACAAGGTTTTTTCCAACATACACGAAGAAAACGGTTTTTTTCTGCTCTTTCTTCTTCGTTCAAAGTAAGCGTTTATCTTTCAAATTAAGTATGCGTGTTTTTCTCTTCCTTTTTTCTAGTATTGCAACACAAGCGTTAAAGACATATGTCGATAGAAAACTACTGACCTTAAAATAACTAACGACTTCCGTTTCCAAGTACGTTTTCACTCCAGCTACGTGTTTCATCGTGAAATACGTCTTGGTGATGTCGAATAATGAAATGTATATATTTTTCCGAAAGAGCAACAATATAAAACCTGTTGGTGTAACGAAAATGATATCACCTCCACCCATCACGATTCAGTGTTAGCTAGCACCTAACTCTCATCGTTTCACGCTACTAAAGTGAATAAACTCGTATCCGTTCTGTAACGTACAATCGATCAATCAACGCACAAAACGTATAATGAGCTAAATTCTTCACTTGCATTTGTGGAACCTTTGTTATGAAAAAAAAGTCTACCGATTTTTGAAATCTTTCAAGAAATTGATACTGAAAACTGATACCAGTTTTTGAATTCACCGAATACACCGAGGATACTCACAATTGTTGCAGCATCAATCTTTCATGCATTTCTCACTTCTGTGCAGTTTTATTTTTGAGATCTTTACACAGCAAATATTAACTGAGTCTATACACTAAAAATCTCCTAGATTTGGTGCATTTCATGAGAAAGAACGTTTTTTGATACCCAAAATGAATGAAAAACTGCTACTGTGCGACAGTAAATAAAAAGGATTTTATATATCCTTATTCTCGCACTCACTGCAACTGCTGTGTACTTACTCGGTAAATTGGTTATTTTAGCGCTTAAGTTCTACTTTAAAAAAGTTCAAAAAGCAGATATAAACTGCAAAAGTTCGAGTATAAAAGTAGTCTACTTTAAGAAATAAAGTGTCTTTTACAACACGCACTGTTTTTCGTCTCGTTTAAAATGAGAAAACGTTAGTATACTAACGTTTTTTCTCATTTTAAACGTGTATGTTTATATCATCAAACATACACGTGGCGTATGGTATC